AGTCTATAGAATTTTCTATGTACACTATCATCTGCAAACAGAGAGAGTTTTGTTTCCTCCTTTCCTATTTGGATGCCTTTTATTTCCTTTTCTTGCCTGATCACTGTGGCTAAAACTTCCAAAACTATATTGAATAGAAGTGGTGAAAGTGGACATCCTTGTCTTGTTCCTGATCTTAGTGGAAAAGATTTTAGTTTTTGAGTATATTGTTGAATATATTGTTGGCTGTAGGTCTCTCATATATGGCTTCTATTATGTTGAGGAATGTTCTCTCTATTCTTACTTTGCTGAGTGCTTTTATCATAAATAGGTACTGTACCTTATCAAATGCTTTTTCTAGATCTATTGATAATAATCATGTGATTTTTGGCTTTGCGTTTATTTATATAATGTATTACATTTACTGATTTGTGAATGTTGAACCATCCTTGCATCTCTGGAATGAATGCACTTGGTCATGGATTATGATGTTTAATGTATTTTTGGATGTGGTTTTCCAATATTTTGTTGAGGGTTTTAGTGTCTATGTTTGTCAGTCATACTGGCCTGAGGTTTTCTTTCCTTGTTGTGTATTTATCTGGTTTTGGTATTACAATGATGCTGGCTTCATAAAAAATTGTTGGAGACTTTCCTCTTCTTGGATTTTTATCAAAATCAACAAGCCATAAGTAGGCCCATCAAGAAAAGAAGATAGAGGATCTAAATAAACACAATCAGAAATGAAAGAGGAGAAATTACAACTGACACCACAGAAATAGATGGAATTGTAAGAAATTACTATGAAGAAGTGTAAGCCAAGACAATTGAAAACCTACGTGGAATGGACAAATTTCTAGAAAAATATAGTCTTCCAAAACTCAATGAAGAAGAAGCAGGAAGCCTGAACAGACCAATAACAGCATATGAAATGGAAGCAGTAATCAAAAAACTCCCATGACACAAAAGCCCTAGACCAGATGGTTTCACAGGAGAATTCTACAAAGCATTTAAGGAAGAGCTAACCTCTATTCTCCACAGACTATTCCAAAAATTCAGAAGGATGGAAAACTCCCAAACTCTTTTTATGAAGCCAGCATCATCCTAATTCCAAAACCAGATAGAAACACAACAAAAAAGAAACCTTCAGGCCAATATCACTGATGAATATAGAGGCTAAAATCCTCAACAAAATATTGGCACACCACATCCAACAGTACATTAAAAAGATCATTCACCATGACCAAGTGGGATTCATCCCAGGGATGCAAGGATGGTTCAACATTAGCAAATCATTAAATGTAATTCATCATGTCAACAAAAGCAAAGACAAAAACCACATGATCATATCAGTAGACTCGGAAAAAGCTTTTGATAAGGTACAACACCCATTTATGATAAAAACACTCAGCCAAGTGGGAATAGAGGGAACATTCCTCAATATAATAAAGGCTATATATGAGAGACCTACAGCCAACATCATACTCAATGGGCAAAAACTAAAAGATTTTCCACTAAGATCAGGAACAAGACAAGGATGTCCACTTTCACCACTTCTACTCAATATAGTTTTGGAAGTTTTAGCCACAGCGATCAGACAAGAAAAGGAAATAAAAAGCATCCAAATAGGAAAGGAGGAAACAAAACTGTCACTGTTTGCAGATGATAGTGTACATAGAAAATCATGTAGACTCTATCCCCAAAACTGCTCGACCTAATAAATTAATTTCGAAAAAAATGGGATACAAAGTCAATATCCAGAAATCAAAGGCATTTTTTATACCAACAATGAAACAGCAGAGGCATCAATCAAGAAAAAAATCCCATTTGATATAGAAACAAGAAAAATAAAATACCTAAGGAATAAACCTAATCAAGGAGGTAAGAGACCTATACTCAGAAAACATGTATCATATTCATGGATTGGAAGAATTAGCATCATCAAAATGTCCATACTACCTAAAGCAATTCACAGATTCAATGCAATACCTATTAAAGTACCAATGGCATATTTCACAGACATAGGACAAACACTTCAAACATTTATATGGAACCATAAACAACCCTGAATAGCAGCTGCAATTTTGAGAAAGAAGAACAAAGTAGGAGGGATCACAATACCTGATATCAAACTGTATTACAAGGCTACTGTAATCAAAACAGCCTAGTACTGGCATAAAAACAGGCAAATGTACAAGTGAAGCAGAAGAGAGAGCCCAGAAATAAACCCAAGTCTCTATGGTCAATTAATTTTTGACAAAGGGGACAGCAACGTAAAATGGAGCAAAGATAGCCTCTTCAACCAATGTGTTGGGAGAACTGGACAGCTACATGTGAAAAAATGAAACTTGAGTACCAACTTACAACATATACCAAAATAAATTCAAGGTGGATAAGAGGTTTAAATATAAGCCCTGACACCATTAAAGTTCTAGAGGAGAACATAGGCAGGAAAATATCAGATATTCCACACAGCAAAATTTTTATTGATATATCCCCCAGAGCAAGGGACATAAAGGAAATAATAAACAAGTGGGATCTCATAAAAATAAAAAGTTTCTGCACAGCTAAAGAAAACAGTATTAAAATAAAAAGATAACCAACTCTATGGGAAAACATATTTGCCAATGATACCTCAAACAGGTGTTAATCTCCAAAATATATAAAGAACTTACATGACTCCACTCTAAGAAGACAAGCAACCCAATTAAAAATGGGCAAAGGACTTGAACAGACACTTCTCCAAGGAGGACATACAAAAGATCCAGAGACATATGAAAAGATGCTTAGTATGGCTAGCAATCAGATGCAAATTGAAACCACAATGAGATACCACTTTACACTGGTCAGAATGGCCATCATAAAGAAAGCAACAAAGAACAAGTTTTGGAGAAGTTGTAGAGAAAAGGAGACCCAGGTTCCCTGTTGGTGGTATTGCAGACTGGTAAAACCACCATGGAAAACAGTATGGAATTTTCTAAGAAAATGAAAAGTGGATGTGCTGTTTGACCCAGCAATTTCATTGCTAGAATTATACCCTAAGCACCCTGAAACGCCAATCCAAAAGAACCTATGCACCCCAATGTTCATAGCAGCACAATTTACAATAGCCAAGAGTTGGAAGCCACCTAGGTGCCCATCAGTAAATGAATGGATCAAAAAATTATGGTACACATACACAATAGAATTCTATGCAGCAGAAAGGAAGAAGGAGCTCCTATCCTTTACAACAGCATGGATGGAACTGGAAAGCATTATGCTGAGTGAAATAAGCCAGCTGGTGAAAGATAAATACCATATGATCTCACCTTTAACAGGAACCTAGACAACAAAACAAACAAGCAAGGACAATATAACCAAAGTCACTGAAATAGAGAACAGACTGACAGTGACCAGAGGGGAGAAGGGAGGGAATTTCAGGGGAAAAGGGAAGGGTTTACAGGAACAAGTATAAAGTACACATGGACAAAAACTGGGCGGGGGGGAATGGGAGGAAGGTGGGAAGCACTAGGTGGTTGGCTGGGATGGGAGTAAAAGACAGAAAAGTGTACTTGAACAGCAATTAAAATAAATTAAAAAAAAGAAAGAAAAAATGACAGCAACCAGAGGGGAGGTAGGAGGGGGAAAATGGGAGAAATAAGGGGAAGTGTCATCAAGAAACATGTGTACAGGACCCATGGACAAAGCCAAAGGAGGGAATGATTGAGGGTTGAGTGGGAAAACATAAAAGTATGCTTAGTCTTTGTTGGAATCATGCATTAAAAGAGTATGGAAAACCTCATTGACTTAAAAGCTAAGTGGAAATTCGTTTCATTGTATTTTAAAATTTTTGCCCAGATTTCTTTTTTAAAAAGATTTTATTTATTTTTAGACAGAGGGGAAGGGAGGGAGAAAGAGAAGGTGAAAAACATCAATGTGTTATTGCCTCATGTGTGCCCCCTACTGGGGCCCTGGCCCACAACCCAGGCATATGTCCTGACTAGGAATTGAACCAGCAGCCCTTTGGTTTGCAGGCCTGAACTGAGCCATACCAGCCAGGGAAATATTTCTTCAATATCATAACATGGTGTGTTCAAAGATTTATGCATCAACTGGAGCAACCTGTTGATGTTCTAAGAGCTAAAAATCAATAAGACTCTTGATCAGCAGTTTGGGAAGTGGAGATTATGATGGTTCATGAATTAATTAAATACCATGAATAACTGTCTGTATTTTTCTCAGCTTACTGAAAACATGTAAAGTCCATTCATTTACAAAACCATGCAAAGTGAGAAATCCATGTCATACGATAAAAGTACACTGAAAAACAAAAAACTAAACAAAAAAGTCATACATGTTTATGTACCTATAATAATAGATCTTCAAAACAGATGAAGCAAAAACTGAGAGAGTTGTGAGGAGAAAAGCCCTAGCACATTGTCATGTGCTACTGCTACTACGTGATCAGAGGGGAAGAAAATACTTGTTTTTCAGAGCAGGAGAATAATGTAGTTGTGAAAATGGCTTTGGGCTATTATCTCTTTTCACCTCGTTGGGAGAATTTTCTGTACTTCTGCTGGCCATAAAGTGAGCAACAGCTGCCACAGCTGAAGGTACATAGTTAACCTAAGAATATATTTAAACCCAGTTATCTCAAAGCCTGGCTTCTTACTATATTGATTGCTATAAGCTAAGCAGGGCCCTATTTTAGCTTAAATGTTTTCCAACTAGTTTTTAACATTTTCTGCCTCTAGAAACTGATAAATAACCACATACTTCTTGGCCCAGTTGGCTTGTTGTTTGTTCATCTGGTTCCAGTTTAAATTTATGCCAAAGTGAGCTGAATTAGGAAAGTTACTGCAAGTGAAATATGACCAATGGAGGTTATAGTTAGCAAACTCAAGTCACTTCTCTCTGTGTTTATGTATATTAATGTAAATAAAATATAACTCCTAGAAGGGAGTACTTATTGATGTGCAGACATGTAGTCTATTTTTAAATGAGTAGATATTTACACATAGGCTGAAGACATACACAACAAGTCATCCTTAAACATATGGTATCTTTAATTAAATTGATATTGGTGAGTTAAAAACATTAAATCAGAAGAATACAACTAGAGAAATTCAGTATTTTATGACTATAATAAAATGTTTAGAGTGAAAAAGAGTAAGGAACATCAGTTGGCTTTGTAATTGAAGAGACAAGACTGTCTTCTCAGTTCTTGTATGGGTACAGACCACAAAAGAATAGTTCTTACTTAGGAAGTATTGGGAAAAGAATGATCATTTTGTGTATATTTTTGCTCCTGAAAATTATCTGGGACAACTTTGCCTAGTCATGGATGAGTAAAAATAAGATATAAGAAACATTAAAATGGGGGACATTTAGTATTCAGTGTCTTGGAGAATATAGCAAAGGGGAAAATGCTCGAGTAGATATTATAATTTGGTATGTAAAATAAACATTTAATATTATGATAAAGTGACTAAAAATTACCTATATTTTAAAAAGGCAAATAAGAACTTAGGGGATAAAACTCAAAATAAATGTGCTCTCAGTAGTAACTTGATGCATTATAAATTCTCTCACTTTGATAAACATGGATATATAATCCTGCTCTCTGTACTCAAGGATTTTCTACATTTTTTTGTAAAGGGTGACTCATGTCTAGTCACATCTAAATGACTCAATATTTTGAACTAAAAGGCAGTTTGCATAACATACACATTCTTCACTTACAGATCAAAATAAGCTTAACACTTTTATATTAAAAACTTAGGATACAGTAGGATTAGTAGCACCATGAAAAATAATTTTTCCCTAAAACTGCAGTCTTTTATTTTACTCAGTGTGATTCTTCTCTTAACTGAGTTTTTAATGTGCCATTTTATTCACTGGGTGAAATATATAATCTTCATCTCATAATCCTTAGAGAAAGTCATTCTGTACCAAAAAAGTAAATTAATTTCCTCATTTCTTTTTTAGAAAAAATAATAGCAACCTTGTTCTGGCACATTGCTGAGGTACATCTGAGTCTTCATGGTTACTGGTCAGCAAGCTCTCTTGGTCATATACAGTAGCACCATTGGTGACAGCAGTGGTCAAGTTGGGGAGAATAAGACATTGCATTCTGGGAATTTTATATATATGTCCCATTGAAAAGCACACAAGAAATTCCTCAAAATATTATGTCCTCTTCATGCACACTTGACATCGGCTAATACGTGTCATCAAGTCGCCTGTCTTTAGCGTTTCTGACTGAGGTTTGCTGGAAAATAAGAAACAAGACAATCAGATTTGCCTCTTTTTGTATTTCAATTCTATTATTGATTGATTCAAATTCACATGCAAACATTATTTTTGTGTTTAAGAAGCTCTCCTGATGACTGATTTGTCAACTTTTGAGCAAAATGATCAAGTGCAGTGACTAGTATAGTCTAAGAACCATTACTGGTAGGTACTTTTGTGACTATTCTCTGCACCACTATTATCTTTGTCTATTTGTCTCTCCCTCTTACACATTTTTCTTTTTTTTCTTACAAATGAAATCTATTAATACATTGAGACTTATGGATCTGCAGTTACATTTTTCTAATAGTCCTAGAATCATGGGGATCTGGGCAACTGATGGTGAAAAAATGATAATATATAACATATAAGATAGGCAGAAATATAATACATAAGAAAATATTAAATAATAACAATTCAAAAAAGTACATATGTTATATACATGGTCTTACTAATTTAAATGTTGGATGAGAGGCTTGAAAAACATCCTGGGAAAAGAGAGTTCATTGGACTGAGGGAGGGAACACAGACCTTGGTTTCAATTCCCGGGATGGTCTCTGTCTAATTGAACAGCTACTCACACGTTATTGGGCAGATCACATAACCTTTTATGGCTTTGCTATTGAAGAATTACAAACAAGCCATCTCAAACCAGAAGTATCTACTATTAGCTAAGCTTGTTTTTCTGATCTGAGATAAGTATATAAGGAGAACAAGCAAGAATAAAGGACACAGTCTACTAAGTTTTAACATTTGTTGAGTATAAACCATCCATGAATCATCTTTCTTTTCCCTGGCATCTCTGAAGGAAGTTAAAGACCTAAGGTAAGCTAAAGTCATAAGCACCTTACCTGAACATGTCTGATACATCTACAGTTGTCAGCCAAAAGCTGTATGAATTGGCATAGTAGTTGCAGGTACCCCACCCATGGCATTCAATGAAGGGCGCAGAACGAAACTCTTCCAAGCAAGAACCAGGGGAGGCCAGGGCTTGACCTGAACCCTCTGCCCCAGCACTTGTGTGCTAGAAAAGACAAAGGAAAATGTGCCACAACATCCATGTGTATACCTTAGCGAATACTCAAATATATGTGTTGAACTTGGCCAAAAATTCAAATCCAGTGAAGTAACTAAGGCCATAGGTAAGAGAAAAATATCCACAGCAAAGGTAGTGAAAAAAAAACAGGCAGATTATAAAAACATGTTCTCAAAATGTGTGAAGTGGAACATGGTACTTGGACAGAACCTATTTGAAATCAAGCTTCTTACTATGAAAGTGACAGAGATTTTTCATATTGGGAAGACGTGCTGATATGATGGACAGTCAGCTATGATGATGAAGACAAGGAAGAGTGTTTCATACCATCATGAAGGAATAACCAATCCAGAGAGAATCCCATCCCTGTGGACAATGGGGAATCTGGATGGTCTGACTGTGAACTGCAATCACCACAGCTGGAGCTTCACACACTGCACATCTAGTAAGGGAAAGGGAAAGGGAACACAATCTATAAAGTGAGTATATGGGATATAGCAGTCCTTTGGAAGCCAAGTAAAGTGTCTTAAATGCTCAGAAAAGAAAGAGAAATTGCATTTTGAGAATTGCTTTTGCATAAGCACTGTCTTCCAATATACATAGCAACATTATAAATAATAATTGTAAGCTTTTTCCAAGAAACTAAAGAATCGCTGCTCTAGCATTTTTACTTTTCACTCTTCCCTAAATTCATACACGCTATAGTCAATGCCATAACTGCTGTAGGAGTTTGGCTCAGTGTATTGCGCATACTACTTCCTGACAAAGTGCCCAACTGGAAGACATGGGGATCAGGGCAACTGATGGTGAAAAAATGATAATATATAACATATAAGATAGGCAGAAATATAATACATAAGAAAATATTAAATAATAACAACTCAAAAAAGTACATATGTTATATACATGGTCTTACTAATTTAAATGTTGAAATGCTGAAACTGTGGTAAGAACAATGTGTGGTAAACTACAAAAAGACAAGAAACACCACTTTCTTAACTCTCACCCAATTATTTTTGGTCCAAAGGTATTTATTAACCATTTGGTCTATCTGGGGATGGAATACATACACAGAAAGCTGGGAAGGTACCCAGGCACTTGGAGATGGGGCTTAAATCTACAAAATCAAGTAAAACAGTAACAGTGTAAATATAGCAGAGTCTACCAAATCTTTAATAAAGTACAAGAGTGGACCTTTTGAAATACTGAACCAAACTGGCAAAGGTTATCGACAATACAGGGAGTACCTTTAGGGGACCTTTCACTCCCAAGAGTTGGAATGGACAAAAATCACAAAAAGTAAATTCCCAAAGAATCTGGGTAAATGTGTTTTAAAAGGGCATAATGCATTTGCTACTAAGAGAGGCTGGTCTAGATTTAACCTTTATATTCAAGGTAAAAAGAAAAAAAACCCTAGACTTTCCAGTGAGTCATCCTTTATACTGGATTCCTAGATAAATTAGGTTATGATCAGAATGAAAATGGCAATATCTAATATGCTTAGGAGATCAAGTTAAACTAGGGGTTTAACCTGAAAAAACTCTAGAAAATCTCTATTAATGGTACCTCTCTCCCTTTAGTTACTCATGCTCTAAACTTCAGCTATCATTTACTTCCTCCTTCCCACAGCTAACCAATTGCCCTATCCTATTGTATTCTATTGAAGTGATAGTTGTCCCCAACTGAGACTTCTAATCTGTTCCTACCAGGATTTTAGCAATACCTTCAATCTAATTGATCTCTCTGACTCAGGGCTATCCCCTCTGTAATCCATGTTACACACCAATGGTTCTGCATTCTTCCCTAAAATGAAGGTCAAAAAATCTTCAGGGATCTCTATCACATACCAAATAAAACCCAAACTAAAATTGGATACTGAAAGCCTGCTACCATCTGGGTTCAAGCTAACTATCCAATCTTCCCTGTCCCTATACAACCTTTACAAACCACATTCTAAAAACATCAATGTGCTACCTATTCCCATGTTCTCTGTCTCATATGTCATTCCCCATTATAACTGCCTGTGTCTCAAGCCCTTCCCATTCTTCAAGGACTAATCAGTTCAAAACACATTTCTTCCATATAGTCATCCCAGATTTCTCCAGTTAAATTAAATATCACTCTACTTATGCTTTCAGAACATTTTTATTAAATCTATGGTAGCACTTAGCTCAAGCCTAATATATATTAATTTATGTATATTTGCCTAATAACTAGACTAGACTGTAAACTCTTTATATATTACACTATGTCTACCACAGGCCTAATCAAAATGGATCAATAATAAAAATGAATCAAACTAAATACTTAATTGAAATAAACACACCTCTATTCTACCTAACCCAGGAGAAGTATGATCAGATTATTAGATTTGGACTTATTTCTGACTAGCTAAACTAATTGGGGATTGGAACAAGTTGAAGTTATACCAATGTCTCACCGACTAATGAATGGCTGAATGCTCTGGCCCTTCAGGGGCTCCATGTTCATAGGCATGGACTCTGGAGTGGAGAGCCAGTAAGAATAGTCATTTCTTGAAGCAAAGTTACAAACATTGTTGATGTTGCAGAACATGAAAGGCATGGTACTGAAATGATGAAGGCAGCTGCCAGCCGTCCCTAGAAAGAATTACAGAGAAAAGATGAAGAACTACATCATGATGCTACTTTATTCTAAAAAAGTAACAAACAACCTTTAAAAAAAACTTGCCCATATTTCTTGGATAATAAACATACAGGGGTGGGCAAAAGTAGGTTTATAGTTTTGAACACATAAAGCAGTATTTATTCTTATATTATTTATGAATTATTGCATAATTTTCCATATGAACAACTGTAAAACTACTGTTGCCAACTCTGGTACTTTAATTCTTCAATTATAAGATGCACATTTACTTAAATTTTAACATTTCTAAAATCAGGATATATCTTCAAATTTATATTGACATTTATTGTGGTAACTCATCATGTGTTCCCCAACACTGTTTTTAAATTAGTGGTTTGTTGGGGAAAGCTAAGATGGTGGCATAGGTAAACACAGTTCACCTCCTTACACAACCACATCAAAATTATAACTAAACTATAGAAAACCATCATTCAGAACTGCCAGAAATCTATCTGAATGGAAGTCCTACAACTATGGAGTTAAATAAGAAACCACATTGACACTGGTTGGAGGAGTGGAAACGCAGAGTGGGTTGGCTCCACACCCATGTGTGGCAAATAAAAATCAGGAGGGATATCGGGATTGGGGGCTCCCAGCCCCACATCAGGCTCCTCAGCCCAGTATTTCAGTGCCAGGAAACTAAGTCCCATAATTTCTCACTTTAAAAACCAGTACAGATTGAGGCTGTGGAAGAAAGAAACTGCTAGATTCCCAAGCAGGTCCTCTTAAATGGCCCATGCATGAACAAAACTCTAGAAAAATAATTAAACAAAATGGAGATAAGCAATCTATCAGATGCAGAGTCCAAAACACTGGTTATAAGAATGTTCAAGGAACTTAGTAAGAACTTCAACATCATATAAAAGACCCAGTCAGAAATCGAGGATAAACTAAGTAAAATAAAGAAGAGTTTACAGGGAAACAACAGTACAGTGGATGAAGCTGAGAATCAAATTAATGATTTGGAACACAAGGAACTGAAAAATAACCAGTCAGAACAATAAGCAGCAAAAAAGAATCCAAAAAAATGAAGACAGTATAAGCAGCCTGTGGGACAACTTGAAGAGGTCCACCATTCACACAATAGGAATGCCAGAAAAAGACAAGAAAGAGCAAGAAATTGGAAATCTATTTGAGAAAATAGTGAAAGAAAACTTCCCTAATCTGGTAAAGAAAACAGACGTGCAAGTATAGGCAGCATAGAGAATCCCAGTGATGAAGGATGCAAACAGGCTCACTTTAAGACACATCATAATTAAAATGTCAAAGGTTGCCCTGGCTGGTTGGCTTAGTGGATTGAGTGCCAGCCTGTGAAACAAAGAGTGGCTGGTTTGAGTCCCAGTCAGGACACATGCCTGGCTTGTAGGCCAAGTCCCCAGTAGGGGGTGCATGAGAAGCAACCACACGTGGATGCTTCTCTCCCTCTTTTTCTCCTTCCTTTCCCCTTCATCTAAAAATAAATAAATTTTAAAAAATGCCCAAGGTTAAACACAAAGAGAGAATCTTAAAAGAGAAAAGAAGTTAGTTACATACAAGGGAGTTCCCATAAGACTGTCAGCTGATTTCTGAAAGAAACTTTGCATGCCAGAAGGGATTAGCAAGAAATATTCAAAGTTATTAAAAGCAGGGACCTATAGCCAAGATTGCTCCACCAAGTAAAGCTATAATTTAGAATCAAAGGGCAGATAAAGAACTTCACAGACCAAAAAATAAACAAAAAAAATGAAGGAGTTCATCATCACCTAACCATTATTATAAAAAATGTTAAAGGAACTTACTAGAAAGAAAAAATAGATCAAAACTATGAACAATAAAATGGCAATAAACACATACTTATCAACAATTGAATCTAGAAACAAAATTCAAACAACAAGAACAGAGACAGAATCATGGATATGAGAACATTTTGTTGGCTGCCAGATGGGAGGGGTGTATGTGAGAATGGGTAAGAGGCGAGGGGATTAAGTAGAAATAGGTAGTTACAGAATAGCCATGGGGATGTAAAATACAGTATAGAAAAAGTAGTAGCCGAAGAACTTATATGCATGACCTATGGACATGAACAATGGTGGGGAGATTGCCTGAGGGAATGGGGTTTTTGGGTGGACTGGGGTAAAGGGGGAAAAACTGGGACAATTTTGATTATGCTGTAGTAGCATAATCAATAAAATATAAGTTAAAAAGAAAAAGGTACTTAACGGGCGAGAACAGACCAAAATGGCTCAAGAAGATCTCAAAGCCCCAGAGCCTATAGATCTAAGCAATGAAGAAATAGCAAAACTCTCAGACGCACAGTTTAAAACACTGGTGATCAGGATCCTCACAGAACTGGTTGATTATTGTCACAAATTACACAAACATATGAAGGCGAAACTAATTGAAATGAATGGAATTGCACAGGAAACCAATAGCGATGAAAAGGAAACTGGGACTCAAATCAATGGACTGGACCAGAAGAAAGCAAATACTGGCCAAACAGAAAAGAGTCAAGGAGCAAGAATTCAAAAAAAATGAGGAGAGGCTTAGGAACCTCCAGGACATCTTTAAATGCTCCAACATCCGAATTATAGGGGTACCAGAAGGGGGAAAGGAACAGGCACCAGTGGAAAACTTATTTGAACAAACAATAAAGGAGAACTTCCCCAATCTGGCAAAGGAAATAGACTTCCTGGAAATCCAGGAAGCTCAGAGAGTCCCAAAGAAGTTGGACCCAAGAAGAAACACACCAAGGCACATCAGCATTACATTAGCCAAGATTAAAATGAAGGAGAGAATCCTAGAAGAAGCAAGAGATAAGGGGACAGTCACCTGCAAAGGAGTTCCCATCAGACTGACAGCAGATTTCTCAAAAGAGACCTTACAGGCAAGAAGGGGCTGGAAAGAGGTATTCCAAGTCATGAAATCTAAAGACCTACAACCAAGATTGCCCTATCCAGCAAAACTTTCATTTAGAATGGAAGGACAGATAAGGTGCTTCTCAGATAAGATCAAACTCAAGAAGTTCATCATCACCAAGCCCTTATTATATGAAATGCTAAAGGGACTTATCTAAGAAAAAGAAGTTAAAAAAACATGAACAGTGAAAGGACAGCAAACTCACAGTTATTAACAACCACACCTAAAACAAAAGCACACTAAAAGGACAGCTAGATCAGGAGCGGAAATATAGAAATGAAGATCTCAAGGAGGGTTAGCAATAGGGGAGTGGGAGGAGGAGAAAGGGGGAGAAGGTACAGAAAATAAGTAGCATAGACAGTAGATAGAAAATTGATGGGGGGCAAGAATAGTATGGGAAATACAGAATCTAAAGAACTTGAGACACATGGTCATAAACTAAAGGGGGGTAATGGTGGGGATAGGGGTAGGGGGGAGGGGAATGAAGGGGGGAATAGATCAACTGTAATGGCATAATCAATAAAAAATTAATTAAAAAAACTTTAAAGTTAAAGAAAAGAAAACAATGGATTCAGAATTGATAGATGTTACATTCAATTCTTATCTCCAAGAATTTCTGAGTGTGTGGCTTTGAGTAAGTCACTTAACCTCTTAGCTAGTTTACTGGTGTATAAAATGGGAAAAAAATACCTGTCCTACATCTTTCTTGGTCATAATTATGATGATCAAATTAGAAATAAATATGATAGTGCTTTATAATTATAAAGTCATTTAAAAATACAACTAACATTGCTGCCTTATTAGAGACAGAGCTGGAAAAATCCTTTTAATAATCCAATACAAACAATGTATTTTTTTTGACCAAGAGATTGTTTAACATCAAAGCTGTAACTATCTCTAGTCTTTGCTTAGCCATCAAGATATTTCCAATTTGATACTTGTGTGAGCTCTAGCAGACACTCTGCAATCAGGATCACCCTTGGGACCTTGAGCCCTATCTGGGCCATCCTATGTCTGAGGTCCTTCCAAGTCAGGGCCAGTTTGGAGCCTCAAAGTCTGAATGCATATGATAATAGCCCTTGTTTGACCAAATGCATGTATTTTTGACAAGTTATAGTGACATAGTACATAGCAGATCCCATTTTCTCTTTTCATTTCTCTTATATTTTTTAATTTCATGGAGATCAAACACTTCTAATGGTTCCCACTAACTTGCTAGGTTAAAAATTTTAAGTATATAAGATTGGTTATGGGTATAAGTTAGATTGTGATGATGAAGAGAAAATGGACTAAAAGGAAAATAATTTTATAAAAAATAATATAGAGAATTATCTAAAGTATGAGAGTACTTTCACAATGAAAATTTGTTGATTGTAAAATCAGAAAAAGATGATGTTGCATAAAGAATTCAAAAGAGGGAAGGAAAAGTAGCAGAGGAAAGATAAAGAGGAGAAGTAAAGAAGAGGGAGAAGAAAGATGAGTAAATTCCCATTTTATTTGGCTTCAAAAAACGACCTGTGACTAGTCTTCCATGTAAGTGTATGTGTTTTCTCTGGTTGGTCAGAACTGCCAGGCAGGTGAGGCCATATGCCCTTGGAACAGAGTTAGCAAAGCAGACCCCTGGAGGTCGCTGTTGCTACAGAACTGTTTTCACAGAATGGCACAGATAAAGAGACCTCAGCTGGCCTCTCACGACAGAGACTACAGATACTGGGAACCCAAAATCTTGGAAGCAAAGAAAATAGTGACCCCCAAAATAGGCAGCCCCAGGTCAAACAACAGGTCCCCAAAATCTAAAGTGAAAATTCTATGAAACAAAATCTTGGGGATTGAAAGAGATCTTAAGAGTCATTCAGTCAAACTGCATTCCATTCTGAACTGTACACTCCAGTACTGAGAAGATACATGGGAACACATTAAATGAAGTCTATTTTATATGTTAATATGGTATTTTATATAGCTTTAAACTACTCTGATAATACTGTATATAGTCAAGACACTTATTTTGGGGACAATAAACTGGAATAATTAAGCAATGACCTTATTACTGTCTTTGATCTAGAAAGCAAGATTCTCTTCAGACCCCATCTTTCCACTTGATGAAAACCAGTGCCAGAGAAGAGGAAACTATCTCCCATTAGTTATAAACACTGCCCACTCAAGCCGCTGCTATACTGTAAAGAACCCAGGCAATCTGTTTCCTTAATAACTAAGCTAACAAAAATAATTTGGTCCTTTCCAAAATGATTTACTTTAGGCCAAGAATTGTGGGGGGAAATACAATAAAGATGACAAACAAGAACTGTACCTCACAATAGGTCAATTAATGTTTGGGGTTTAAAATTAGATAGTATTTACTTTAAACTCATAGTGAATATATTCAGCTGCCCTTAACATAGTCTTCAATTTGGAAGCCCCAAAGTAATAGAGAGATGTACTTTGGCTAAGGCTACTCTATAAATACAATAGGATTTTCAAAACAAAAACAAAATACGTAGTAAGAAATAAGATGCCAATTATCTCACCCAAGTCTTGACCGTGTGCTCTTTTATTTCCTTGTACATATAAGAGAGAAAAGCCTTCATAAATCTGGACAGTTCCCTGTGGGCACTGTGGTGCATCTGTTGTCTGGCTGTGACGTGTGATGAGGAATCCATGAGCAACAGAAGAAGTTCCAGGGGGTCCTGGGGGACCTTGCAATCCATCTGGCCCAGGGGGACCATCTAAACCACGGGTACCTATTTCCATGGAATCATCAGTATGTAAGATTAAGTAAGCTCTGATTCACTATTATGTTTGTTGACAAAATGTTATGACCTCATTTGATCAGTTAATTTAGTCAATATTTATAGTTTCTATAAAAGTGCTGTCAAATATAATTTGTTTGGGAATAAATAAAATATGGTTCCTGCCATATATATATATATATATATATATATATATATATATATCTTTGTGTGTATATATATATATGTGTGTGTGTGTGTGTGTGTATGCATATAGGGGTGTGTGTGAGTGTGTGCACACTATATATATAAAATCCTGGAACTGGTTGATGACATGAGACACTAAATAAGTATCAGGTAAATGGAATATCAGATGGGAAGAAGTGATGTTTATTTAGGGAGTCTGTGTGTTATCTAGTCTCTTGCTGTACTAAAGGAGTCCAAACTCCATGACAAAATTTCCACTTGCTGTTTTGTTCCTCAACAAGAGGGGAAGGGTGTGGTTGTCATTAGTCTGCCAGCTTCAGAGCAAAAAAAAAAAAACATTTTCCTTTGGATCTGTCTTGGGAATTATTCTCAGGCATACCTGTTTGTTTAGAGAATAGGTTTGTTTCTTTACCTGTTTGTTTAAAGAAGCCTTTTAAAAATGTCTATTTTCAGGTTCCCTTTCTCCACTTAGCCTCTTGATTTGAGGTCCTTTTAAAATTATCTTTATATACAGGTTTTTGGCCAGTGTGTATATAGAATTTTGATTTTGGGGAAACTTCACAAGCAATTCTCTGTGATGAAGATAACACTAAGTTGTTTCTTCCCTGGAAATACAGTTAATGAAATGGCAGGATGTTGGTTCTAAGGCCATAAGTATCATCACTCTGCCTTGTTGCCACAATATTGTTGCCAATACAAACTCTTTATGTTTATATTCTTTAGAGTTATATTTTCATTATATAGAGTTGCTAACATATATTATTAATACATTTCACTCCTGCTCCCAATTCTAGACCTAGATGCAGATAACCACTATATGCTTTCTCCATAGATTTGCTTTTTTGGAATACTTCACACTGAAACACAATATAGGGCCTTTTGTGATTCGTGTTTTACATTTAGCTTAATGTTTCAACAGTTTATATATAGTGTAGCATTTATTGGTACTTCCTTCTTTTCATGGCCTAATAATATTCTACCATACAAATATAACACATTTTCTTTACCCATCTATCAATTGATGGACATTTCTTAAATTTATTCCCAAGTATTTTGTTGTTGTGTTATTGTACATGTAATTTGTCTCTTAATTTCATTAGTGTATTGTTCATTGTTAATGTGCAGAAACACAATTGTATATAAATATGCACACACATACACACAATCTCTTGTATCCTGCATACTTGTTGAACTGATTTATTGACTCTAATAATTTTTTTCTGTGGATTCTTTAGGGAATGCTATATGTAAGATTATGCCTTCTGTAAATACAAATAATTTTACTCCTTTTCAAGTTTGCATGTCTCTTTCCCCCTCTTCTTTCTTAATTGCCCTGGCTAGAACCTCCAGTACAATGTTGAATAGAAGTGATAATTGCAGATATCATTGTCTATTTCTGAACTTATGGGGAAAGTTTTCAATGGTTAGCCATCAAGTATAAAAATAACTGACATTTTCACAGATGCCCTTTAACAGGTAAGGAATTTCTATAGGATGTGTTTATTTTAAAAAGCTGTTAGACCTTTGCCAAATATTTAAAACATTGGGATTACAATATTTTATTTCTATTTTAGCTACTTTTAGTATATTTTAATTACAAAACTGAATCAAACTATTTTTGGAAGTAGTTTGAGTTCAGATTGGAAATCTAGTAGATACCAATACAATATTATCAGGAGTACCTATTAATGAGTGACTTCAAATATATTAATGAGTGACTTCATATATAGTCATCTTAGTATAAGAAGGCACTATGACTCTCAAAACCAAGGAGATTGCTTAAACTTTGCAACTGTATTTACTGCATTAGTAATAGAAATTGTACTCTATTGTGATATTTTCAAATGTGGAGGATTCACAATAGTTTCAAGATAGTCACAGATACATATTAAATATTATCAGAACAGATAAATACAGCAAGTACCTGGGACATCCCGATTTTGAGAAAGAGCTGGGTTTCCCAGTGCTCTAAACATATAAATACAAATCTTTCTATGCTACTCTTATACTGGTAAATATCTTTGTATCTACTCCCCAGCAACAGATTCACCAGCTAGTCGTACTCTTTCAAGAGAAGCTCTCACAACTACAATTGGTGGCCATGTTTTCCAGACATTTCCAAGACTTAAAGAATAGTATCAGCAAGCAGTGTTATAGTTGTCGCACCTGGCTGGCCTGGCAGACCTGGGTCTCCTTTATGCCCTTCTGCACCATCAAAGCCAGGGAGTCTAATGCGTCCAGGATCTCCTGAAGGACCAAGTGGACCTACAAGGGAAAAAGAAGGTTTACAAATGTAAGGAAAATAATTCAACATCCAGACAGATCTAGCAGACTTAAGGTGCTTGAAGTCAATGAACTCATAATCTGGTTTTGTCTTTAATTGAGATACATGAAGGAATAGCTCAAACTCAGGACAAAGGAAGTAGAAAAGGATTTAGTATTAGATTTAAACAACACATTTGTCTTTGTGGAGATTCCCATACTATGACAGTTGTGTTCTCTTTGCCTTCAAAACAAGACTGGAGTACAAGATGTAACTTTTATTATCTATTCCACCATGAATAAAGTTGTTACTGCTTGGTACCTTTAATTTATGGAAAGACTACCACTCAATCACTTGTTAAAAGAGAAAGACTAAAATTTGTTTATAGATTTTTTTAGAATCAAAGTTGGCTGCAAGCATGGAGTAAAATGGCCAACTACACAGGGTTTAGTTCTAAAATAATGAGGTCTCACAGTGGGGAACTAATGGCCCATCAAATCATCCTTCTATCTTTCTGGTAGTTGGGATAGAGACAGCAGCAGATCTTTATTACAAACTAATTTCATTACAGTGTTTTATACAATATTAACCTAAATCATTCAAATTAGGATATCCAGAGGAGCTAGAAGAAATTGGACTGGGACTAAGAGAAGTTAGGACATGATAAATTGAAATTAAATAAAAAACCTCAAGCCCTGGCTGGTGTAGCTCAGTGGACTGAGCGCGGGCCTGGGAACCAGACAATTGCTGTTCGATTCCCAGCCAGGGCACATGCCTGGGTTACAGCCCAGTTCCCTGCAGGCCAGTTCCCAGCAAGGGATGCAGGAAAGGCAACCATACACTGATGTTTCTCTCTCTCTCTCCTGCCCTTCCCCTCTAAGGATAAATAAATAAAATCTTTAAAAAAACCATACCAAACAAAAAAACTCAAAAAGGAAATGGAACCTGTGGTGGTCTAGTAAAACTCTGGCAAGTGAAAGGAGAATTAGGGAATGTTCTCAAATAGATAAGGCTTAAAAAGAAGATCTGCAAAGGTACCTGGTAGTCCATGAGGTCCTGGTAGTCCTGGTAGACCTTTAAATCCAGGCTGGCCTGGGACCCCTGGTGGACCAGCATCTCCTTTGATTACAATATTCTGACCTGAAGGACCAGGTAATCCAGAGGTACCTAAAAGTCAAAATATACAAATTTAAAGGTAGGGAAGACAAAGTTTGGAAGGAATGAATGCCAAAGTGTCCTAAGGCTAGAATAAGAACTGGTATGAGAAATAAGTTACATGTATGGAATTGTCATGTTCAACAGAAATCTGTTTGTGAAAGATATCATTATCTACCCAGAAGACTGAAAAAATAAAATTTTCTTAGGGCCAATGGAAAAATTAGACATATTGTCCCTATGTTCAAGATTTGAAGAATGACTGATTACTAGAAAGAATAATTCATTTCAAATCTGTGAACGTTGGTGTTGAGAGAAGACAATTCTATTTCCTGACAAGTCCATTCTAATTCTTACATCATTTGCAGTTTTTGTTTGTTTTGCTTGTCAGGGGATCCACTGAACCAATAGGGTCAGCAAAAAGCAAAATAAAACAGAACAAAAAACCTTTTTTCATATTAAAACATACCTGTGTGACTTGCTCTTGTGGTCTGTTCAACTGAATATGGAAAAGTTCATATAGTAGGCAATAAGAAAATCTAAGTGAAGCATTCTTGTTTGTACTGTTGTTATCTTAAATATAAAAGGTCTTCTCTCAATATTATATTAATGAAATACAGAGTTTGAGAGATTACTAAATAGAGGGAGAATCTTATCTATTTCCCCTCAGTTGTTGGGGGCTAAGACTCTGAAAATTTGGTAGAAATAAGGAATGCAAACTTTCAGATTCTTCAATGCATTTAAGTTATCAGGTATAACTAGCTTCAAGAATAAGTATTACCTGGAGGCCCAATAAATCCTGGATCTCCCTCAGGGCCAGGTGAACCAAGTAGTCCACTGGGTCCTTTCATGCCTGCAAAAAAGGTACATACAATTGCACAGTAAAGCACCAGGACCACAGTCTTTGCTGAGCCAAGTAAAAAAATGGATATCTTGTCCCAAATGTGTTTAATGAAAAGGGGGAACATCAAAACATCCCTTCAAATACCTGGAAATCCTGGACCACCATGGAGACCAGGATCTCCTTTCATTCCATTGAGACCTGGCCGGCCAGGATTACCCTGAATAAATAAAATAATTAATTTTAGAGAAAAAATTGTGGGGGGGGGAGAATGAGGATATGGGTGGTGTTGCATAGTGATTTATGGCACTGGGTCTAGAGTCAAACTCCCAGGATTCAAATCCCAGTTTTGCTTCTTATTAGCTTGTGTAACCTTGAGTTGACTGTTTAACCTCTTTGATTCATAGTTTTATCACTTATACAGAAAATAATATCTACCTTGTAAGGTTGTTTTGAGGATTACATGTGATGGTTTATATTAAGTACTTAGAAAACTGACGGGCGTATGGTGTGTGCTTAATAAATGATAGTTATTATTTTGTTATCACTAGCAAAGACACTATTTTTTAGTGTATCCCTGAGATGATGAGTACTTGGATTAGAATCACATGTCCAGAAATGATAACACCTGAAAGACTTAGCAAAAAATACAATAGAGCCTATTAATTAACTGGATTTGAGGGCTAAGAAAACTATACAAAGAAGAAGGAGAAGGGTTTACAAGAACAAGTATAAAGGACACATGGATAAAAACTAAGGGGGTGGAAATGTCAGGGAAGTGGGGAGCACTGGGGGGTGGGTTTGGATCAGAGTAAAAGACAGAAAACTGTACTTGAACAATAATTAAAATAAATTTTTTTAAAACTGCAAGAAAAAAATTTCTGTTGCTTTAGTAAAAAAAGAACAAGAATTGAAAGTAAATGTAAAATGAACCTAAAAAATAATGCGTGAGACAATAAAACTATTAGTATAAATGAAAAAGAGGCAAGCCTGGAACATAATATTATGCTAAAATGTAAGAAAATAGAAAAAAGGGGGAGAGAGTCATGTATGTCAGAAAGACATAGAATCCAGCTTGAAGGGATTCCCAAATCTAAGACAATTTGAGCATCAAAATAAGTAATGATAGTTTAAAAATTACAAATCATTAAAAATAATTTATGACGCCAAATGGACAGTCAATAGAAGAAATTAGATTCTTACAGTAGGGTACATGTGTAGATAGTGCTAAAGGTTAGAAAATCATTTGCCACTATCACACTGTTGACTGGTTGAGACAAAAATTGTAAATAGATTATTAACTCTAAGGGGAGATTTTGATGAGGACCAGTATACTCACATTAACTTAATGTGTGCCTTCCTGTAGTTTTACTTATTAGTTACAAAGAAGAACATTGGTAACCATTAAGTAGAGGAATCAGATAACCACGTTTTTTTAAATTTCTTTTTCTAATTGTTGTTCAAGTACAGTTTTCTGTCTTTTACTCCCATCCCAGCCCAGCACCCCAGCCCTCCTCCCTTCCCGTTTCCACCCCCTATAGATTTTATCCATGTGTCCTTTTTACTTGTTCCTGTAAACCCTTCACCTTTTCCCCTGAAATTCCCTCCTCTCTCCCCTCTGGACACTGTCAACCTGTTTTCTATTTCATTATCTTTAGTTATATTTTGCTTGATTGATTGTTTTGTTGTTTATGTTTCTGTTAAAGTTGAGATCATGTGGTATTTCTCTTTCACCACCTGGCTTATTTTGCTTAGCATAATGCTTTCCAGTTCCATCCATGCTGTTGCAAAGGGGTAGGAGATCCTTCTTTTTTTCTCCTGCAAAGAATATTGTGTAGGACTTCCGCCAAGATGAAGGCGTAGGTGGAAACACTGTGCATTCTTGCACAACCAAGTTTAAAGACAACAAAGGTTTAGAAACAAAAAATGCAGCCAAAACACAGAAAATTGAACTGTACGGAAGTTCAACAACAACGAACTGTTCCACCCGACTGGTAAGAGGGTCGGAGCCAGCAGTGGAGTTGGGGGGGGCAGGAAAAATCCCTCCACCCAGGCAATACAGCAGCTGTGGGCAGATCCCAGGTGTGTGGTAGCAACCGGAGACCAAGTGGGGGCGCAAGGCGGCACGCTGACCATGGTCATACATTTACACACAGATAAACCAGTGAAGGTGAAAGCAGTGAGGCAGACCATGCAGGCCCTAGTGGCGGAAGCAGCAGAGGGGACTGCTATTGACCCTCTCTGATCCTGCCCCCATACAGCGTCACAACCCTGCGACCTGGGAGGCCCCACCCTGGTGAGCACCGAAGGCTTGACTCCTCATACATAACAGGCACAAAAAGAACAAAACATGGCTCAAGAAGAACTCAAAGCCTCAGAGCCAATAACTCTAAGTGACCAAGAAATAGACAAATTTTCAGATGCACAGTTCAAAACACTGGTGATCAGGATGCTCACAGAACTGACTGATTTTAGTCACAAATTAGAGGAACATATAAAGGCTAAACTAAGTGAAATGAAGGGAAATGCACAGGAAACAAACAGTGATGAAAAGGAAACTGGGACTCAAATCAAGAGAGTGGACCAGAAGAAACAAAAAAATGACCAAACAGAAAAATGTGAAGAAACAAGAATTCAAAAAACTGAGGCCAGGCTTAGGAACATACAGGACACCTTTAAATGCTCCAACATCCGAATTATAGGGGTACCAAAAGGGGAAGAGAGGGAGCAAGTGGAAAATTTATTTGAACAAATAATTAAAAAAAACTTCCCCAATCTGGCAAAGGCAATAGACTTCCTGGAAATCCAGGAAGCTCAGAGATTCCCAAAGAAGTTGGACCCAAGAAGGAACACACCAAGGCACATCATCATTACATTAGCCAAGATTAAAATGAAGGAGAGAATCCTAGAAGCAGCAAGAGATAAGGGCACAGTTACCTACAAAGGAGTTCCCATCAAACTGTCAGCTGATTTCTCAAAAGAGACCTTATAGGCAAGGGGCTGGAAAGAAGTATTCCAAGCCATGAAATCCACAGACCTATAACCAAGATTGCTGTAACCAGCAAAGCTTTTATTTAGAATGGAAGGGCAGATAAAGTGCTTCTTAGATAAGATCAAATTCAAGGAGTTCATCATCACCAAGCCCTTATTATATGAAATGTTAAAGGGACTTACCTAAGAAAAAGAAGATAAAAAAGATGAACAGTGAAAGGACAGCAAACTCACAGTTATTAACAACCATACCTAAAACAAAAGCAAACTAAAAGGACAGCTAGATCAAGAGCAGAACCATAGAAATGAAGATCACATGGAGGGTTACCAACAAGAAAGTGGGAGGAGGAGAAGGAGGGAGAAAGTACAGAGAATAAGTAGCATAGACAGTAGATAAAATAGATAGGGGGAGGGCACGAATAGTATGGAAATTGTAGAATCTAAAGAACTTGAGACACATGGTTATAACCTAAAGGGGAGATGGTGGGGGAGGGAGAGTGTAGAATGGAGGGGAATGAAGGGGGTGAATGGAACAACTGTAATGGCATAATCAATAAAATATATTTTAAAAGAATATCATTGTGTAAATGTAACATAGTTTTTTTATCCATTCATTCCCTAATGGGCACTTAGGTTTCTTCCCATACATGGCTATTGTAAATTGTGTTGCTATGAACACTGGGGTGCAGAGATTCTTTTGGATTGGTGTTTCAATGTTCTTAGGGTATAATCCTAGCAGTAGAATTGCTGGGTCTAAAGGCAAGTCCATTTTTCATTTTCTGAGAAAAATTCCATACTCTTTTCCATAGTGGTTGTACCAGTCTGCAATCCCACCAACAATGCACTAGAGTTCCCTTTTCTCCACAACCTCTCCAAAATTTGTTGTTTGTTCCTTTGTTTATGATGTCCATTCTGACTGGTGTGAAGTGATATTTCATTGTGGTTTCAATTTGCATCTCTCTGATAGCTAGCCATACTAAGCATGTTTTAATGTGTCTCTGGATCTTCTGTAAGTCCTCCTTGGAGAAGTGTCTGTTCAAGTCCTTTGCCCAATTTTTAATTGGGTTGCTTGTCATCTTAGAGTGGAGTCATGTAATTGCTTTATATATTTTGGAGATTAACCCCTTGTCTGAGGTATCATCGGTAAATATGTTTTCCCATAGAGTTGGTTATCTTTTTATTTTAATACTGTTTTCTTTAGCTGTGCAGAAGCTTTTTATTTTGATGAGATGCCACTTGTTTATTCTTTCCTTTATGTCCCTTGCTCTAGGGGACATATCAGTGAAAATGTTGCTGCATGAAATGTATGAGATTTTTCTCCCTATGTTCTCCTCTAGTACTTTAATGGTGTTGGGACTTATATTTAAACCTCTTATCCACCTTGAATTTATTTTGGTGTATGGTGTAAGTTGGTGCTCAAGTTTCATTTTTTCACACGTAGCTGTCCAGTTCTCCCAACACATTGGTTCAAGAGGCTATCCTTGCTCCATTTTATGTTGCTGTCCCCTTTGTCAAATAGTAATTGACTGTATAGACTTGTGTTTATTTCTGGACTCTCTGTTCTGTTCCACTGGTCCATGTGCCGGTTTTTATGCCAGTACCAGGCTGTTTTGATTACAGTGGTATTGTAATACTATTTGGTATCAGGTATTGTGATCCCTCTTACTTTGCTCTTCCTTCTCAAAATTGCAGCAGCTATTCGGGGTCGTTTATGTTTCCATATAAATTTTTGAAGTGTTTGTCCTTTGTCTGTGAAATATGCCATTGGTACTTTAATAGGCATTGCATTGAATTTGTAAATTGCTTTGGGTAGGATGGACATTTTTATGATGTAATTCTTGTGATCCATGAACATGGTATATGTTTCCATCTGTTTGTGTGTTCCTTGATTTCTTTCTTCAGTGTTGTGTAGTTTTCTGCATACAGGTCTTTTCCCTCCTTGGTTAGGTTTATTTCTAGGTATTTTATTTTTCTTGTTTCTATATCAAATGGGATTTTATTCTTGATTTCTGCTTCTGCTGTTTCATTGTTGGTATACAAAAATGCCTTTGATTTCTGGATATTGACTTTGAATCCTGCTGTTTTGGCAAATTTATTTATTAGGTTGAGCAGTTTTGGGGTAGAGTCTATAGAATTTTCCATGTACACTATCATGTCATCTGCAAACAATGACAGTTTTGTTTCCTCCTTTCTGATTTGGAATGCCTTTTATTTCCTTTTCTTGTCTGATTGCTGTGGCTAAAACTTCCAATACTATATTGAATAGAAGTGGTGAAAGTGGACATCCTTGTCTTGTTCCTGATCTTAGTGGAAAAGATTTTAGTTTTTGAGTATATTGTTGAGTATATTGTTGGCTGTAGGTCTCTCATATATGGCTTCTATTATGTTGAGGAATGTTCTCTCTATTCTTACTTTGCTGAGTGTTTTTATCATAAATAGGTACTGTACCTTATCAAATGCTTTTTCTAGATCTATTGATAATAATCATGTGATTTTTGGCTTTGCGTTTGTTTATATAATGTATTACATTTACTGATTTGTGAATGTTGAACCATCCTTGCATCTCTGGAATGAATCCACTTGGTCATGGAGTATGATGTTTAATGTATTTTTGGATGTGGTTTTCCAATATTTTGTTGAGGGTTTTAGTGTCTATGTTTGTCAGTCATACTGGCCTGAGGTTTTCTTTCCTTGTTGTGTCTTTATCTGGTTTTGGTATTAGGATGATGCTGGCTTCATAAAAAGAGCTTGGGAGTCTTCCATTATTTGAATTTTATGGAATTGTCTGTGAAGGGTAGGGGTTAGCTGTTCCTTAAACACTTTGTAGAATTCTCCTGTGAAACCATCTTGTCCAGGCCTTTTGTGTGTCATGAGTTTTTTGATTACTGCTTCAATTTCATCTGCTGTTATTGGACTGTTTAGGCTTTCTGCTTCTTCTTCATTGAGTTTTAGAAGATTGTATCTTTTCTAGAAATTTATCCATTTCACCTACACTTTCAAATTTCTTGGTATACAGTTCTTCATAGTAACTTCTTACAATCATTTGTATTTCTGTGGTGTCAGTTGTAATCTCTCTTCTTTCATTTCTATTTGTGTGCATTTGGGTCCTCTCTCTTTTTTTTTCTTCATGAGCCTGCTTATTGGCTTGTCGATTTTGTTTATCTTTTCAAAGCACCAGCTCCTGGATTCACTGATCCTTAGAATTGTGTTTTTAGTCTATAAGTCATTTAATTCTGCTCTGATCTTGGTTATTTCTTTCCTTCTACTTGATCTGGCCTGTATTTGTTGTTGTTCCTTGAGTTCTTGTAGGTGTAGTGTTACATTGTTTGTTTGCAATGTTTCTATGTTTTTTAGGTAGGCCTGTATCACTATGAACTTCCCTCTCAAGACTGCCTTTGCTCTGTACCACAAGTTTTGGGTTGTTGTGAGTTCATTTTCATTTGTTTCCAGAAATGTTTTGATTTCTTCCCTAATTTCATTCTTGACCCATTCATTGTTTAATAGCATGCTATTCAATCTCCAAGATTTTGAATGTTTGGGTTTTTTCCCTTGGGGTTGGTTTCTAGTTTCAGTCCCTTGTGGCCAGAGAAAATATTTGGTATAATTTCAATTTTCTTGAATTTGTTGAGGCTCTTTTTGTATCCTAGCATGTGGTCTATTTTTGAAAATGTTCCATGTGCATTTGAAAAGAGTGTTTATTTAGCTTCTTGGGAATGAAGGGCTCTCTCTCTCTCTCTCTCTCTCTCTCTCTCTATATATATATATATATATATATATATATATATATATATATATATAATCAGTTAAGTAAAAAAAATCAGGTAACAACTTGATTAGGTGATCAAAATTAAGATCACCAGTAAGGGGCAGATTAACATCTTGAGCCTTTATATCTGAGCTGGACACAAAATCACTCATATAGTAGTCTAGCTGGAGAAGCAAAACGTGAGGAAACAGCAAACAAAAGAAGAAAAATTCTATTTTTAAAACATAGGGAGTGGCTACATTTCTCTAAAAATGTCAAGATCAAGAAGGAAGATGATAGTTTTAAAAACTGAATCAGATTAAGGAATAATAAAGAGATATGGCAGTTAAATTCAATGCATGGTTTGGTCTGGATCTGATACTGGAGGAGAAAATACTATAAAGGGCATTACTAGGTCACTTGACACAATTGGATATGTAATGTAGAAATACAAGTATTATATTGATGTTCAATTTTCTGGAGTTGGTAGCTATACTGTGGTTATATTAAAATTATTTAATCTTAGAAATTTTTTGCACTCAAGTATTTAGTGGTCAGGGGCCATGATGGATGCAACTTATTCTCAAATGTTTCAGAAGTCTATATATAATTATATAACATAACATACATACAGAAAGTAAGTGGGGAAAATATTAACAATTGGTTCATTTGGGTAAATGATTCATGGCAGGTTTTTCAACATTTTTGCAATGTTTCTATATGTTTAACATTATTTCCAAATAAAAGTTAGAAAAAGTACAAGTGTAAGAACTGACTTGCAGAAAAGAAAATGAACAGAACTTGATAATACTAGATTTATAAAATATTGGTATCAAGGAGTTTTGAATCAGGCATAATGACATATGAACTGGAAGTACATGAGAAATGAATGAGGAGGGAGTAAATACAGAATGAATAGGAACAGAACTAAAACTTTAAGTCTAGGTGTCCAGAAAAATAGTAATATCATAATAAAAACAGGTTAGTTGTTGGAAAACTTTAAGGGACAAAGACAGACCCAGCCTGTGTTGGCTGCCAAATCTAATGACAACCCTCCTGAATGACTGAAAGAAACTTTGAGGATCCAGAACTGGAGAGCATTATGCTAAGTGAAATAAGCTAGGTGGTGAAAGAAAAATACCATATAATGTTACTTATACATGAAACCTAATCAACAAAACAAAAGAGAAACGGAGACATGGAAATAAGGAGCAAATTGACGCTGACTTGTGGAGGTGGGGGGAAGGGGATATTGGGGAGAGAAGGGAAAGAGTCATCAAGGAACATGCATAAAGGACCCATGGACAAAGATAGCAGGGCAGAGGAGGACTGAATGTGGGGGATGGGTAGGGCAGGGGAGAGTAATGGGGGAAAAATGATGAGGACAACGGTAATTGAATAACAAAAAATAATTAAAAAAAAGAAAGTGACTGTTTTCTTTAGCCGTGCAAAAGCTTTTAATTTTGAAAGGCAGCTATGCTCACCACTATACCACCAACGCCTCACCAAAAGCTTTTAATTTTGATGAGATCCTATTTGTTTATTCTTTCTTTTATGTCCCTTGCTCTAGGGGATATATCAGTAAAAAAGTTGCTGCATAAAATATCTGAGGTTTTCTAGGTGCCCGTCAGTAAATGAATGGATCAAAAATTTATAGTACATATACACAATGGAATTCTATGCAGCAGAAAGGAGCTACTACCCTTTGCAACAGCATGGCTAGAACTGGAAAGCATTATGCTGAGTGAAATAAGCCAGGTGTTGAAAGACAAATACCATATGATCTCACCTTTAACAGGAAGCTAGCAACAAAACAAGCAAGCAAAATAAAAGACACTGAAATAGAGAACAGGGGGACAGTGACCAGAGGGGTGAGGGGAGGGAATTTCAGGGGGAAAAGGGAAAGGATTTACAGTAACTAGTATAAAGGACATATGGACAACAACTAAGGGGGGTAGAAATGGGAGGGAGATGGGGAGCACTGCGGGGGTGGGTTAGGATGGGAGTAAAAGACAGAAAACTGTACTTGAACAATAATTAAATAAAAAATAAAAAAATAAAAAAATATTTTTAAAGCAAAAAAAAAAGTGACTTTTTGGGTCACTCAAACCAAGGTGGAAAGCACATGAATATAGATGTAGGAATATGCTATTACTCTCTTTTCACAGGTGAAGACAGAAACCCCAAGAATCTATCTGCCTTTCTCATAGACACAAAGCAAAAATATGCATTAGAACTAAAATTTGACCCTCATACTATCTAATTTCAAGGTCTAAAATATACCCACTCACCGTAATTACTTCCTTCTGAGTGTACTCTTCTACATGCAATGCTCTGATATACATGTCTCCTTTTGTAAATTTACTTACACTAAAATGAAGGTCTCTTAAATCTAAATACTATACATACCAAAGACCCTTTATCTAAAAGGTAGCAAAGTCCCTTTAGGTGGAAGAAGATAGGAAACTTGACATTTTCTTTTTTTATAATTCACCAATGAACTATACGTAGAGGCTAGACCAGTAAATGCTATTTAAAATAATTTAGCATGGAATTCTTATTTTGCTTCCAAATAGCCACATCCATTTCTTATCAAATATCTACTCTAATTTCTTACCTGGTATCCTGGTGGTCCTTGATCTCCTTTCAAACCAGGCAAACCAGGTTGCCCAGGTTGACCTGGGTTTCCTTTCTCTCCTTTAATACGTCCATTTCCAGGGAGACCCCAGGGACCTTCTGGACCTGGTAGACCTTGATAATGCACAAAAAATGACCATGTTAGCACAATATAAAAGTAGCATAACTGTTCTGTAACTACCTATTTGTACTTCTAAATCCCTTCACTTTACCCATGCATCCCGCAATCTACCTTCCATCTGGCAACCATCAAAATGTTCTCTGTATCTACAAGTCTGTTTCTGCTCTGCTTGTTTGATTTTTAGTTGTAAAGTATAGCATAGGTAATATAGTCATTAATGTTCTAATAATTATATATGTTGTCAAATGGGTATGAGATTTATTGGAATGATGACTTAGTAAGTTATATAATGTCTGATTTAGGGTGCATGCCTGATACTAATATAATATTGTATGTCAACTATAATTGAAAAAATTTAAAAATTATTTAAAATTTTTAAATAAACATCTCCTCTTCCTATCATCCTGCAATGACCCTTGAAGCCCCTAAGGCATTTTACCTCATCCCTAGGTCAGAATATCTTATATACCCATTTTTCCTTTCTGTCTCTGAATTTCTCATACATGGGGATCTCTCATGTATGCAGGGTTTCCATTCATATGTATGTATTACATTTGGTTATTTTCTCATAAAAAATAGCATGAAATTTAGGCTTTTAAAATATGTCATCTAAATATTAATAATTTGCAAAATAAAATTCAGACTACATTAAATTATATAAGACTATGCTGGTCCTGTAATGTAAATGGGGTTGTGTTATTTTTGTTATAAACACTGGTTTTCAGACAGTTTTAATTTGTATTTTATTGTATATTAAATATAGTATACCCATAACATTATAATAGATATTACATCTATAATCCTTGTTTGATTTAAGTCAAAAGAAACAGACATCATAGGGCACTGTTTTAAAATTTGAACATTCATTAGAATCCCAAGGATGGCCTGTTAAAACAGACTCCTGGGCCGAACACCAAGAGTTTTCGATTCTGTGAGGCTGGGGAGGGGCCTAGGAATTTGCATTTTAGCAAGTGCTCTGTACATATACAAGCGCCCTATAGTTAAAGCTGCTGGTTCTTCTGGACCATACTTTCAGAGCAACCAGGCATTCAAGCTACTTGTGTCAATGTGATTAAAATCAAATTGCTTTACTGGAAGTATTTACTTTTATTCAGCTTTTTAAAAAAGATATTATTTATTTTAGAGAGTGAAAAGGAAGGAGAATGAGAGGAAGAGGAACATCAATGTGTGGTTGCCTCTTGTGTGCCCCCCCACTGGGGACCTGGCCCACAACCCAGGTATGTGCCCTAACTAGGAATCAAACCTGTGTCCTTTTGGTTCACTGGCCGTCCCTCAATCCACTGAGCCACACAAACCAGAGCTTTTATTCAGCTTTTATTACTTAATTATGCAATCAGCTTTTATCACTTAACAGTAATTTAAGGGAACTTCAATTTCATTTTAGTGACATGCTTAATACATGAGAATATCTTTAAATGCCAGAAATTAATTGACTTAATATTATGCTTTATAATTTAACAATATTTCATTATTTACATTTTAAATGTTTATGAAAATAAATAACTTTGCATATATCTTGTGAATAAATAAAATAATTTAAAATGGAATTTTTCTAAGTTCTTTTTACCTTTGCTTTCTAAATTAAAGATATGTCCATTAAGCAACAAAGGACATGTTATCAATAGCCACATCTTTTTTTCACTAGGTGGGATATAGCTGTTGCTTGCTTGCAGAGTGCTAAGCAGTGGCTGAGGCCGAGAGTAAGTAGACATGCCTTAAGAAAAATCATAAAGCACTAAATAACGAAAAAGCCAATAGTTAGCACTTATACTGTTTCTTCTAGTAATCTTAGTTTTTCCTTAGTTTCAACAAAAAAAGGAAGATATGTAGGACATATCATAGCCATGTTAATTTATTTATTTTTTTGAAATATATATGTGTTTTATTTAATAAATACCTGAGTGATCTTATAACTGCCATGCTCTAGGAATGATAGAATTAGGTACAAAACATTTCATATGAATTTAGAATACCAACTTCATGCTTACACATGGACAAAGGATTATCTTTTTATTGAGCTAAAATGGGTATATAATATTATGTAAGTTTCAGGTGTATAACATTGTAATTCAATATCTGTATATATTACTAATTTATTAATGACAAAAGTCTAGTTGTCATCCTTAACAAAGGGTCATTTTTTAATAAAAAAATAACATTTGAACTTTAGTTTCTTTTCCAACACTCTCAAAACCCAGAACTAATGGCTACATGTGAACAAGGCAGCATAGAATCCAGATTAAGAGTGCTGCACTTTGGAGCTAGACTGCTGGGTTGGAATTCCAGCTCCAATAATCATTAGCTGTTTGACTTTGGCAAGTTTAGCAATCTCCTTTGCCTGAATCTTATCTTCTTTAAAATGGACATTATCTTGTATACATGTACCACATCTTCATTATGGATGAACCTTGAGAATATTATGCTAAGCAAAATAAATCAGTCAGTAAAAGCTAGAATGATATAATTTCACTTACATGTGAGATACACAAATGAAACTCATAAACACAAACAACGTTATGATCTTACCAGAGCGAAGGGGCCTGGGGAGGTAGTAAAAGGTAAAGGGGGCCAAATATATAGTGATAGAAGATAATATGACTTTGTGTGGTGGGGACACAACAAAATATTCAGATCATGTATCATAGAAATGTACATTTGAAACCTATATAATCTTATTAACCAATGCTACCCCAATAAATTAATTTTTTTTAATGAAAACTTTTACTTTTCAGTAAGAACAACCTACTTTGTCAGGTTGTTCCAAGGATTAAATAAGATAATAGGTATAAATTACTTAATGCAGATCCTGGCATAGTATAAGAATTTATGTTAATGGTTTTTAAAATTATTATTACTATAATTGTATCTTTAAAATATGAACCCATTTTTAATTTTTCAGCTATTCCTATGTGATTAGAAATAGAGAAAGGAAAAAGGTCCACAACAATACAATTGTTTTAATCTTTAAACAATTCAAATTATATAGTCACCTTAGCCTCGCATCCAGACAGACACACTCAAAAATTCCCTAACCGATCATACAGAATGGGTTGAGGTATTTTACACTTAAGCAAGTGAATAAAAACAAACACTGAGTGCAAACTCCCTAGGTAGGATTTTTAAAGCAAAGTAGTTATTTTCTTTTTTAAAATATATTTTATTGATTATGCCATTACAGTTGTCCTATTTCCCCACCTTTATTCCCCTCTGTCCTGCATACCCGCTTCCCATTCAAATTCCCCACCTTTAGTTCATGTCCATGGGTCATACATATAAGTTCTTTGGCTTCTATATTTCCTATGCTATTCTTAACCTCTCCCTGTCTATTTTCTACCTGCCATCTATGCAACTTATTCTCTGTACCTTTCCCCCTCCGTCCCCCTCCAATTCCACTGTTGATAACCCTCCATGTGATCTCCATTTCTGTGATTCTGATCCTGTTCTAGTTGTTGCTTAGTTTGTTTTTGTTTTTGTTTTAAGTTCAGTTGTTAATAAATGTGAGTTTGTTGTCATTTTACTATTCATATTTTTTATCTTCTTTTTCTTAGATAAGTCCCTTTAACATTTCATATAACAAGGGCTTGGTGATGATGAACTCCTTTAACTTAACCTTATTATCTTGGAAGCACTTTATCTGCCCTTCCATTAAATGAAAGCTTTGCTGGACAGAGCAAGCTTGGATTATTTGGTCCTTGCCTTTCATGACTTGAAATACTTCTTTCCAGCCCCTTCTTGCCTGTAAGGTTTCTTTGGAGAAATCAGCTGACAGTCTCATGGACACTCCTTTGTAGGTAACTATCTCCTTTCCTCTTGCTGCTTTTAAGATTCTCTCCTTATCTTTAATCTTGGGTAACTTAATGATGATGTGCCTTGGTGTGTTCCTTCTTGGGTCTCATTTCTTTGGGACTCTCTAAGCGTCCTGGACTTCCTGGTAGTTTATTTTCTTTGCTAGATTGGGGAAGTTTTCCTTCATTATTTGTTCAAATAAGTTTTCAACTTCTTGTTCTTCCTCTTCTCCCTCTGGCACCCCTATGGTTCTGATGTTGGGATGTTTAAAGATGTCCTGGAGGTTCCTAAGCCTCTCCTTATTTTTTTGAATTCTTGTTTCTTTATTCTGTTTTTCTTGAATGTTTCTTTCTTCCTTCTGGTCCGCAACATTGATTTGAATTCCAGTTTCCTTCCTGTCACTGTTGTTTCCCTGTACATTTTCCTTTGTTTCACTTAGCATAGCCTTCATTTTTTCATCTAATTTGTGACCACATTCAACCATCTGTGAGCATCCTTATTTCCAGTGTTTTGAACTGCACAGTTGATAGGTTGTCTATCTCTTCACTACCTAGTTGTATTTTTTCTGGAGCTTTGATCTGTTCTTTCATTTTGGCTATTTTTTTTGTCTTGGTGTGCCTGTTATGTAGTAAGGCATGGAGCCTTAGGTTATCACCAGGGTGGGGCAACCCATGTTGCTGTGTTGTGATGCTGCATGTGGGGGAGGGGTCTTAGAGGGAACAATGCCATCTTCTCTGATCTCTACCAGTTTTCAGTTACTTCCCTACCTACCCACAATCAAATTGGGCCCTTCTGGTGCTGATTTCCAGGTGGGTAGGCTTGTGTATGTTCTGGGACCCTGTGGGTCTCTCCAATAAACTCTGATGTGAGGCTGGGGGTTTCTCCTGCTACTGTATCAACCCCCACAGGTGTTCTCAATCAGAGGTTTGAGGCTTTATTTCCTTACCCTGAAACTCCAGTTTGCTCAGTCTGTCTTGCTCCCCAGTTGTTCCTCCCAGTTTCTTTGCACACAATGTGGGGCCACCAAGTCCACAATATGCCACCTCACTGGGTCCACCAACCACCTCCTTGCCTTCCCTGGTCCACCAGCCGTTGCCTTGTGAAGTCCTCTCCTCCCGGCTGCCTACCTCTGCCCCTGCTACTGGTCAGGATGAATGTTTCTTCTTTAATTCCTTGGTTGTTGGAC